GGATCACACTAATCCAGCACGTTATTAATCTCACGTGCCCCACTCAATATGGTCGCCGCTTGAGTGGGGCAACTCAGAATAATAACGTGCTGGATTAGTGTGATCCTATTTCATTTTATTACTTCATTGCTGTGCTGTATGTGAATAGGCCAATGCCTTGGCTGGCGCTCGTGCAGAAAGTTTCAAAAAAATGTACGATTAATCGAGAAATTAATCGTTAATTTGCACAGCCCTAATATATATATATATATCTTACTTTTTAGATGTTTTGTTGCAGCCAACAAGGCAACATGGCTGATTCCAGGTTTTTCTAAACACCTTCACAGTGATCTGTCCTTATAGGAAGTCTTAGGATTGAAGTTGAGGATTGTCAGGGTTATTCACAGAAGGGTGAAGAGTTTGGAGAAGGCAGGAGAAGTGACCAATTTAGGCCAAAATAGCTGATCTGGAAAAATTGTCCAATTCAGCTCACTTTCCAGTTTAGCTATGTTGTCCTAGATTGTTCACTTCTCCAAACTCTTCACCCTTTTGTGAATAACCCTGTGTGTTTCTCTCATTAGCATCATTTACATACAGTGGAGAAGCCAGGAATTTAATCCTTTAACTCCTCACCTGTCACAGCCCCTCCTAACATTGCAAAAGCAAGTAGACGTGTTAATCAGTAAGAAACCCTAACCCAAGTAAAAGCAATTTTTTTAGCTTATATTATGTGAATGGGAACATGCAATAGTTATAAAATAGGTGTTATGCCAATTTGGCTGTGGAAGTGGAAATACATCTGCAGTAGGGTGTTGAGGCTTGCTGGTACTGATAGAGACACTGTCCCTTTACCCAATAACGGCAGAGTCCTTTAAAGCCCATCCCATGACCAATTAATAATAACCTTCTCAGTGATCCTGCATTGCTCCATTCCTACACAGTCCTAACCCTGTAAGGTCTGTGTCAAATAGTGTCGGAGCTTACATATGGTTGATGATCTCACCCGCTATATCATGTTATGATGATCGGGCCTGGAAACTGGCTGCTGTGGGTTATTTACATATTTTGTGGCAAGCAAGCTTCAAAACAAGCTCCGACTGACCCCTGTAGCTGCAGTGGAGTAATTCATCCTCAAAGATCCCAATAGAAGCAGTAAAATCGAATGCAATCATTTTTCATGTCTCATCCTATGAGTAAAACATGGTTCAAAGGCTATGCCTTTAAAGGTGAGTTACTCCACAGTGCCTGCAGCCACAGAGGTCAGTGATGGCATGTTTTAAAGGAGAACTATGGGTTTAAGGCTTTTCCCCATAGTTCTCCTTAGGGTAACGGGAGGACACAAACTAGCGTCCTCCTGTCACCCTAGGCTCAGTATACTGCGAGCTACAGCTCGCGGTATACTGAGACGCCGCAGTATACCGCGAGCCGCTGTTCGCGGTATACTGAGACGCCGCAGCTGAAGCGGATCACGACAATTGTGTTGGGATCCGCCCAGCTGCATGACTGACAGCTGGCTCTGCCTATCTAGAGGCAGAGCCAGCTGTACCCGCCCCCTCCCCCGTCCGTTCCGCCAGTCAGCGCTGGCGGATCGGAGCGGGGAGGGGGGAATACAGCCCCTCCCCTGTCACGGCAGAGAGCCGTGACAGGATCGAGAGGTGAGCGAACGCCGGTAACTGTTCGCTCACCTCCCGATCTACTGAGCCGACCTTTGACAGTCTCATTGTCACAGGTCGGCTAGAACTATGAGGTGAGTGAAAAGCACTCGCCTCATAGTTCTCCTTTAAGGCTTACTATAATGTACAGTATATATAAATGTCCATGGCCAAGCCACAGTTATGCTTGTAGCAAATAAATATTACTTCAATTGACTCTTGCAACTCATAGAGCAAATTGGGACATCCTTTGCGCGTTTTTTTAGATCAAATGTTAGAGACTTTTTAAGTATATCAATACTGACTGATCCTTTGCCAAAAGTTTCACTGCGCTTGTGCTAGTTCAACCCAACTGCCCAATTCATAGTGCTAGGCCGTAGTGCTTCGTCAAGTACGCTTGGGTAGATGTTTGACTGCCTATTACTGTTGGCGAAACATATACTTGTCCTATGACCAGCCTAATTTGGACTACCATAGGGATTTGCTTCATCTCTATTTTTTTAAATCTGTGACTCCTCTATTTTGTGGCAAGCAAGCTTCAAAACAAGCTCCTACTGACCCCTGTAGCTGCAGACACAGTAGAGTAATTCATCCTCAAAGATCCCAATAGAAGCAGTAAAATCGAATGCAATCATTTTTCATGTCTCATCCTATGAGTAAAACATGGTTCAAAGGCTATGCCTTTAAAGGTGAGTAAAAAAATAGAGATGAAGCAAATCTCTATGGTAGTCCAAATTAGGCTTTTTTTTGATCTGTGACTCCTCTACCTGTCTTTGTGTCCTATTCGTACTGTCCATCCATCTTCTATTTATTTGCCCTGTTTCTGTCCTCAGACGGAAGGAAAGGGCTGTCAAAGAATTGATTAAAGCATCTGAACTCACAAAGAGCATTGCTCTCGGAAAGAAGGTCCCCGATGTTGGTACGTATAGAGGAGGCTTTTTATAATGGCGTATGGATTCTTGAATCATAAAATCAGCACTGACTATTTGGGACGTAATGCAAAAACTCATATGCATGCTAAGCAATCAGCTATATTAATGGATATTGCTGTTGTCTAGGCGATGTTGTGCAACGGTATCAGCCAAATGATCAGAGCAGCGGTGATGTGCAATTTCTACTTTACTAAACAATGAAAATCAACATAAATTGCGCAGGGGAAATCAAATGAACAGGGGAGTGCAATACACAGCATTCATATCAACAATAAGGAAAACAGGCTTGGTAGAACACATGAAAACAATTCTTCAGCAGTTCTGCAAATGGCCACTAGATGGTAGCAGGTTATTCTGGGTTCAGTTCAGCTTCAGCTTAATTACAGAAAAGGGAAATACAGAATCTCACGTGTCCAGGAATAGGAATCACTCATTCAACAAACTGTTAGCTGAGTGGATCTCCTGCTGGCACAGACTTCACACTGGCTGCTGGCTGGCTTTGGTCAGGAGGTTCTGGTGGCTGTAGATAGGGCCACCCCCCTGCATGGACAGCTTCTCCAAACAGACTGTAACAGAGTCCTCTCCAGTGACTGGGGCTTGGACAGATGCTGCGTGCACTTGTGCTCACTGCTGGTGGCCCCCACACCAGACTTAACAGGGGAGGACCCAGCACCTGGTGACAGCTCACTTGCCCAGTCACTGCTGTCCCATCAGGCAGGGTCTCTCTGAGCACAGGAAGCCGGGAGGAGTTGTCATTTATATCCCGTGGGCGTCTTAAGGAGCTCAGGGGATGCTGGGAGCCCAGAGGATTGTGGGGAGTTGAGTTAAAGGGACCTGCCCCTGAATATGAATAAAGGTGCACTCCACCACAGCTATACAATTGAAGATTCCTCTTCTGCAATATTTGGAGCCAGTTGGCTATACACTTCTCTTAGCCTGCAGCTCACAGTGCTGTCTTGGGCAATCAGATTGGAATAAATGCACCCCAAGTGTACTGGCCTTGTGAGGTGCATAAAACTTAGTTTAATAAATAAAAGGTTATATGCATTCACAAATGAATGAAGCACAGGAACCCATCTATCTGAAATATCTATCTTAAGAGGACTTGTCACAGAAATACATTCTTCTTCATGAGGAGTTCAAAGAAGTTTGCAGACCTTCCTGTGAGGATGTTTGGAGTATACTATAGAGATGTAGATAGATTAATTCTAAGGCTTTGTTCCTTTGTGAGTATTTTAACCTTTACTCATTACACTGATTTCATGTACTTCATGAGGCCTGGCAAGGCAAGATGTTTTGCCACTCTCCCTCCTGACACCCACCATGGAGGTCCCAGGAACCAAGGAGAGACAGGGCAGCCAAGGTGGAGGTGAAGGATGGGAGGGGGGGGGGGGGGGGGAGGGAGGG